TTTTTTTTTTATAATACCGTTGGTAGAAAAGAGAGTGGATAATGGTGCGTGAGAATTGCCTTTGAACATACCGACCCAAGGTCCGTAGTATTATACATCGCAGTGTCATATTATACATAGTGTAACTATATATAATGTTTAACACGTTACTTGCACTGAGAACCGTCTAAAGATCAGTCAAAGGCATTTTTCATCCGTGCAACATAGTTGGAAGGACGGACTTTTTACGTTTTACTTTTAATTTTCTTTTTTTTTTTGGACTGATACTTTATGTTCTGTTGATTTTGTTTAAGGAACGATTGTCCGTGAAAGAGAATCGATCCTTCTTGTAATTTGAAACTTGGAATAGAAGAACTACAGAAAAGAAATTATGGAGAAGGAGGTCGAAGAAACGTAAAGGAAAAAGAATTATACTTGAACGTTATCATTTTCTACGCGCGCGCGCTCTCTACGTTGTGATGATTGAAATTTATTTGTCGGTCGTTTTTGATACTGTCTCGAGTATTGTTTACGAAATGTTAAATATGTGTTTATGTATTTAGGAGAAAAAGAATGAAACTTGCGAGAGGAGAACCGGTGACCTTTTTATGTGCCCTTTTTTTTCAACGCGATGTCTCGTAGCTGTACCATCTTTTCTAATCGTCGTTCGATCGAGCCCGAATAGAATGGGTCTTTTTCTGTGATTTTTCTATTTTCTAACAGTTTCAAACCGCGTTGATTTGTAAGATTTTCTCATGGTAAACATTGTTTTGCGCAGCAGCCGTTTCTTCGAGTGCATCTCTGTGCGTCAAAATCGCTTCGATCTGTTCATGTTACACGCTCTTGATACTGTTCTTTTTCAGTGACTCTGATTCCATCGAGATTTAACAACGCACGTCTCGAATTGAACGGGAGAGTAGAGCGAGGAGAATGAAAGGAGGCGGGAAAGGACTGAGAAACTGGCGTTACATAATGTGTCTCTGCATAAATGTGAAATAGAATAGAAATGACGGAGAGAGAGAGAGAGAGAGAGAGAGAGAGAAAGGTTCGTCGAACGATTCGCTACTCGGCTGCAGCACGATTCAAATGTTTCTTCTGTTTCTCGTTGTTGGATGTGTTTTAGAATGTAAGATTTGAGATCAGCAATAGTAATCTTTGTTATGTTTGAATTCGTTGTAATCCCAGTGATGAAGAAGAAGAAAATTATCGATACTCCGCTGAGTATAAAGAGAAAAACTTCCGTTCCGGGGAGGAACGTAATTAATCCCGGTGTCCGGTGAAAAGGTGTTGAAGTATATACCGTGAAACTTTGGCATATAGAAATGAAACAAGGAGTTATGATAGAAAAGAAATTAATGTTGATCGAATGCACATGTACACGAAGCGTTTTGGGTGAATGAAATTCTTCGCGTGGCTTTCTTGGTCACGGCAAAACCAGAGAAGAATCTCCGCGGAAAGGAACAGCTGATCGTGGAAGTCGTCGCATGCTGCTTACAAAAAACTAAGTTTCATTCTCTGATCGAATCCGCGACCTTCTTTATCTCTTTTAAATCATCTTCGCTTCGTTCATTATTACTGTAGATCTCCGGTCCAGGCTCGTTTACCGTTTCCGCGGAACTATCGCCAGTGTAAAGTATTTTATTTCATTCTTAATTAAGTCCTACGTTAACCGCATCTTATTTATCGAATCTTCTCTTTCGTCGTCTCCGTCTTTTCGACTTTGTTCTGCTTTCCTTTTTGTATTATTTCGCAACGCCTCTTTCTCTCGTCGTTTCATTCCGTACGTCACTGTCCACCGAAGCGTGTTACTCCAATCTTTCGAACAGCAAAAAAACTTGCCATTAATTACGTTAGTTGCCATAGTTCTCTCGGTTTCGTTTTTGCGGTAGTGCGAGGGAGAGGATGCTATAGATAGAGATACAAATAAAACGAAACTGTGTGCAAAAGCGGAGATAGAGTATAAGAGAGCGTGAGAAGAGAACGAAGATGCAAGCAAGATCCCGTAAAAAAATATACCACAATGTATTCTGTATATATAAATATTAATTTGCCTATTATTATATATAAATACGATTTTATATATATATATATATATATATATNATATATTATTATCAATTGTAATTTTTATTTTATTTTTTTAGTGTATCCTTGTTGCCATCGATATCGTTGATTTTTCTTCATTAATTTCCTTCGTTGCGATCGGTCGCAGTATCGTGTAGAAAATGACGACGATCCGATCGAAAATCAATGAGGCAACTTCTTTGAGTACCGACTGGCGAGATGCAAAAACGAAATTATGTATTGTCCGCGCTGTGTAGGTATACGACTGCGTAAATGGTATGATTGTCCACGGAACGAGGTTGCGTTTAAGACTATTAATACAATTGATAAGTATGCGAGCGACAGAGTAACAGACAGCCGAGCACAGTTTGCGAGACGAACGATCATCTGAAAATAGTTCCGAAACTTTCACGTAACGTGAAAGATCCACACAGATGCCATGGCCTTAATGAAACATACGACTAACAGAGAAGGGAGCGTCGGAACCCTCTGATAATAATATGTACGTTTACGTACGTTTTGTGTTAAGGATGTATTGGCTATACAGTCAATCCCAAAAGTTTATGTACCTTAGAGAAACGCATTTTCTATAATTAAAAAGAAATCAGACGTCGGAAGAATAATGCTAATAATAAATAGCTACGTGCTAAAAAGTATAGAAGGAAATATCCAATCAATTATTGACGACGGCGAAAAATTTTTATATAGAAATTGTGGGCACTGACGTTTTCTAAGAGAAAAAT